TCTATCTCTGTACAAATTATACAGAACGTCGTCGCTAAATTTACAAGTGGATAGAGATATGAAGACGCTGCAGACACAATATATATAAGATAATATAGGATAATATACGCGGATAAGATCCATGCATAATCAAATTTTTGGAACTGTGTTTTTGTTGTACGTATGTGTGAAAATATTGTGCTTTTTAAACGTATAAATTTTGGAAAAACTATATTTTGGAATGTATCTGACTGGAGAAGATACATTAGATTTTTTTTATTACATTATTTAATGATTTTATCTTTCCATCCATCTTTGAAGATTGCACACGCATTATGTAAGTTTTTGATAATGTGGACAACACACAATATGTATCATATTATATACGTCTATATAATAGCGCACGTGACCGACATTATTTGATAAAACAACCTCACGCTCTGCTTTCTCTCCCTTCCCTTCCAAACCGCATATTACATCGTCACGACGTTTAATTAATGTAAGCATAACGGATAGGCACCGAGGAGAAATACGCTGTGACTTCTGTAGATTTTATATAAGCATAAAGAATGATATTTATGTTGCTTCTTGCATAACTTCTTAATTATCGCATACGATGTTGTTACATTAATACTTCATTATTCACGATAAAATTTCGCACGCGCATATGTATACTGCATACGGCGATAAATATCAATCTTCATATAGCTCAAATTTTTTCTTTTGCCGGACAGAAAATGTTTAAAATGTTCTTAAATTATAGTTAATAAAAGTTATTCTATGTACACTGCCGTAAGACGTGGCAAATCAGATTGTTTCAGCAGGGATAACTTTACACCGAGGCAAAGGAAATTTTTAAATAATGCAAACGCACTTAAGAATATAATCAATAAGGAATGGGTAGCCTTCTTTGAACTTCGAAATGAAATTTACCGAAGTTACCGACTGCACTTTTGCGCGAACTATTCTTTATCGCCGCGCCGAGTTCCTTCGCGCGTTCGTGCAATCTAACTTCGTCTTACCAGCAAATTTCAATAAAACAATGAGCGCAACACGTTTAGCGCCCATAGATTATTGTTACCGGTAAAAACACGCGTATCGATGAAACGATAGCGAGAATTATTGCACGTCGAATCACGATGGCGGAGGCACGATGCAGCGGGGGTACGTTTGAAGAAAAAAGAAGTAAAAAAAAAAACACAATTACAGCGCGATAATAAAGTGATGTATGGCCCGTTCGAGCGAGATGCACGAAGCTAAGGGGGGGTGAAAACGTCCGTGTTACCTCGCACCACCGAAGTTTCCAATCTATAAGGTATCAACAGTTGCCTTTAGCTGCGCGTTGTATACCTTCGGGACTTGCGATTTAGAATGTTGATATAACGGATGGGCGAGCAAGAAAAGCGCTTTGCGCGCGAACCTCTTTCGCGAGACGTGCGAGAGATTGAAAGGGAATAAAAAAAAAAAAAAAGAATAGCTCTCACACGACTCCCGTATCGAATTTCAACCGGCGTACTTTCCGGCGTATTTATATCGGCCGTCTGTGTACGCTTCATTATGTTTACATTCAAATGGTAAACTTCTCCGCCGCCGGAGGGGGACTTTTTCGAGAGTCTTGGCGCGTAAATCTAATCTGTCGAGCCCGTGTCGAGCGATCTCGGAAAGGGGCACTCGAAGCAATCAGACTTCAAAACGAAATTCTATATGTACGCAAGATACGGAAAAAGGCTCCGAGGGCTCTCGTACCTATCGCGTATCAAATTCGAGAATTTGACGCACCCCCACATACGAGAGTATCGCATCTTCTCTAATTTGTTCCCTCATAGGGAGCTCTTTCTAGCAATCGACGGACCCATCGTTCCGGTATAATCGTCACTCGTCAAAGGACAATTGTCTCGAGAACGAAAGGCGCGCAGAGGCGTTGCTTGGCCGAATTTCCGAAATTTCGCGGCGCGGAAGCGGACGACTCTCTCGTCCTCTCTCACGCGCGTTAGTTCTGCCGTATACCTTCGGGAATCGCGATTCGGAATGTTGATATAACGGATGGGTGAACAAGAAAAGCATCGCGGCGAGCTCTCTCTCTCTCGTTATTTCTCTCTCGCTCCTTCTTTCGCTTTTTCTCCCGCTCGCTCTCGCTCGCGCTCCTCTCTCGCGGGCGCTCGTATCCGGCAAAAAAGCACCGGCGCCGGTACATTGAACCCAGGCAAGAGAGTTCCGCCACACGTTCGCGAGGCCGTTTCAGTATTTGACTGTTCCCCGACGCCGTGCAACGGCGGCGGCTGCGGCGGTTCTCCTCTTCGCCTCCGCCTTCTCGGTTCGACTCCCGTCGAGACGACAGAACGCCATAAGCAACCAATTTAAATGTAAATTGAAAACCACCGCGGCATACAAATTGTTCGACTCGCCGTCAAAAAATACTGCGAGCAAAGATCAAACGGAAGACAAGACACGCGGGCGAGAGGGTGGCGTATATGGGGGCCGATGGTCGAGATAGAACGAGAAAAGGTGCCCCGGAGAAGGGCATCTCGAAACGGCGCCGCGCCGGCCAAGCCTCGATTCGACCTCCTTCGCCGGCGCGCGCCGGGATCTGCAGGATCTGCTGGCTCTGAGCTGCCCGGGTTGTATCCCCTTTTCTCTCTGTTACGTCGGCAGAGGAGCCCTCTCGGTCGGTGTTTGTTCCACCCCACGGCGGAACGGATCTCGGCTACCTATGCTAGACTGCCCTCTAAATATTTGCCTTTCCCTTGTCCCGACGAAAGTTGGCTCGCCGTAACGCGTTTCCGTGCAGGAGAGCGCGGCTCGCTCGGCCGAGGGATAGTCGTCGCCGTCTTCTTCGTCGGAGGGAAAAACTTCCGGCATTCAAAGAGTCCCTACTTCACCGTCCACTTTTTCTCCCCTCTCTTTCGCTCCCCCTGGAGGCCCGCGCGTTCGTCGTCGAGCTCGCTCCGCGCACGACGCTCGACGTACGATCGGAAGAAGCGAGATTAATGGATCAATTTATCCTCCCCATTAACGATTTCGGATCGCGGGTCCGTACTCTCGCAGCGAGGAATTAATTTCCCATTCTTGTAAGTTAGAGACGGAGACCCCGACTTACCATAATTTTCGTGAATTCGAATCATTCCCTCGGCGCGGGCCGCGGAGAGAGAGGCTGTTGAATATTCCCTCGCTTATTATGAACGGTTTCTGTAATCAACGTCAGATACAGTCGGGCATTTCGAGCGGCAGGCAGCCCGGCGATAATCGAATATCCAATTGAGTTAACCCAATCCATGCTCCTATAAAATAGCGTAATAAATATTTGTTTCTCGGTTTTAATATTGGCACTACCGTGCGTCGTTCCTATTGAAGGAAACACAAGTAGCAATTGAGAACAATTTGCTACTTTGTTCTATTTTCTTGGTTTTCAAACTTTCCACTCAAATATACTACATTTTCACCGGCAAATTAATTTTAATTATCTTCATAGGAAATTTTAATAATTCTCCTAGATTGAATAATACAGAATTTTTAAATATAAAATGTAAATAAAATATATGCATTCTACGCCTGTTGCATCAATCTTCCTATAATTAAAAAATGTTTCGTAATTGAAAAGATGTTGAAAAGCGATTTCCTTGTACTCGATGCTTTATTAAAACTTATGTTTTTGTAGAAAGGAAATGACAGTCCTTATAAAAGGGCACATTTATCTGTATTGGTAATATATAAATGATTTTTATAGTTAGATCGAATTTGCGAAATATTTCCTTGCAGACGTTGCCTAACATCAAACACGCGTTAATTCGTTCACGAGACCAATAATAGGGGGATCGATGCGAGAACGATTTAACGACTAATTCATCGCACGGTTTGTCATTAGCGCTGTCGCGCGCATATACGGCATTCGGGAACATTTCCGGTTACGTTTACTATAGCAGCGGCATAAATTTTTGACGACGACGACGTCGTGCCGTATGTGTCATGATTTATCGATTCCGGCCGGTTAACATCGACAGCCTCCGGCCCGGAGGTAATGGCAGCGCCACGAACGAACCCGATAGAACGCACTGATCATTAGCTGCCGGCCAAGGTTGCGGCAACATTTCGTCGATCGTATCTCGTGGACGTTCGACACGTTACGCGTAATCAATATGTACCCGCCGGTCCCTTCAAGGGGCATTCCACCCGTCGAAATATCGCGATAATGCATAGGCATGGCCCCCCCCTTTCACCCCCTCCTCTCTCTCTCTCTCCCGAAATGTGCTAATTTAAATTAGTCTGTGCTTTCAGCCTGACATAGCGCACGCGTAAATTTAAATTTCTGAAATGGGATGCAGCGCCGATAGGAGAGTGCTTGTTAGCGCCGTGGTAGCCATCAACATAATTAACTCTCTAAGTGGAGACGCCTGTGTATCATTATTAGTACACGCCTCGATGTTATGGGGTTCGAATGTGCTTACGAGAATTTAGGTCCGCGTCATGTGCCCTGATTTAAGCGCACGTTACACGAAATATCCAATTAAGTCATAATAGAGCCTGTATTGCAGCGAGTATAACATCGCCGCGCGCGGAGCGGATATTTACGTTCACGAGGGACGTCTTTTGATACGACGAACGCGTAACGAACAAGAGCCTGTTGATTCGATCTACTTTCCTTACGTGAAAGCGTACGCCGGGGCTTATGTGCCAATTCAGCTAATTGCCATATCTCCGGAAATCAAAGGAACGTATGTAACGAAACTCCTTAACGCAACGACCTAGTTCGTTAAACGCGCCCCATCTTACGCCCTTACGTGACTATCCTTCCGAATGGTATTCTCGCCTTCTCGAATAGTTTCTTCTCGAGTGTGCAGAGAATTCTCCTTATTGCGTCCTCCGTGATTTTGCTAACGCATGTATATATTTATTGTATATATACATATATGTATGTATATGTGTATGTACGTATAGGATCATAAAAATCTCTATCTTGCTCACCGCGGTGCGATATTACAATAAATCCGAATACTGATCAGCTTTTTACTCCTTTTACCTTGCAGTTCGCAACGGTTATTCTTGCGTACCTGTTGCTCTCTCGGAAGGACTTGATATTCGATTGAACATAGCTGCCAGGGCGGTGCGATATGGGTCAAATGGCGTAGAAGTATGGGCCGCACCCGCCCGCAGTCCGCACACAAATCACACCGTTTATAAAGCAGACGCCGTTCTGGTTACGCTACCTCTCGGTGTCCTCAAGACTTCCGCGCCGCCGTCCGGAGTCACCTTCAATCCGCCGCTTCCGGACTGGAAGTCCCAGGCCATTCAACGACTCGGCTTTGGCAATTTAAATAAGGTGAGCGCCGACGTGTGCGTTTGTGTGTATGTGTGTGGTGTGCTTTCGACAAGTCGCTGTCGTCCTTAAAGCAGTCTAATTTATGCCGCTCGTGAAAAGGACGGTGGATGGTCCTGTCGAGCCGTCGGTGCAAGGGTATTAGGACTGCATAATCGCGGCATTAAGACTTATCACTGATCGCGCAGTGGCAGATTTCAATAGCAATTAATGTGTGTTCTTTTAACGAATGGGGACCACATTGAAGGGTTCGACGGAAATGTTTAACGTACATCAATGACAAATTAAGCGATATCAGTTATGCACTCGAAAAGAGACGAACTGCAATCGAAATTTTTCGTAATTATATTACGATAAAAAATTTATCGAAATTGCACAGGTCCGCATGACAAATCGATTAATTACACTGATGTGACATTCAAATTTGGTATGTAAAATAAAAATTAAATGAGTAAAATGTTATTAAGTACATAAAATTAGGACAAGTAATTAAATTAACTATTTAAAAAATATTCAAATCAATTATTCGGTAATTAAAAATTACAAAGATAAGAGAATATTAGATTATAATAGTTATAATCTTAGCTATGACTTTGAATTAAATGATTCTTTTGTTAATAGACAAAACTATGAAAAAATATACTATTATTAATACTCGGTTATTATATTACATAATAACATAAAAGACTATAGGACGTGTTAGAGACATCTTTCCGGCTTCTCGTACTTTTCAAGCTCGAATGCTATTTGTTCGCAAACTTTTTCAGCCAGTTTTCTATCCGCAACTCGCGTTTTAACGCAAAAATATCGCACAGCATCAGAATTCCGGAGAAGGGTTTCCATTTGTACTCCGATATAAATCCAAGCCCATAATTTTTCCCTTTAATTTCTCAGGTAGTGCTATGCTTCGAGCGCATTTTCTGGGATCCAACAGCCAATTTGTTCGGCCACGTGGGAAGTACCACCGCGTCGCGCGGCGAGCTCTTCCTATTCTGGAACTTATACAAGGCGCCGGTCCTATTGGCTCTCGTCGCCGGTGAAGCGGCTTGCGTAATGGAAAATGTCAGTGACGATGTTATCGTCGGCCGTTGCATCGCCGTTCTGAAAGTAAGTGGATAAAATTTCTAGTCGGAGCGCGCAGGGAGGATGAGGGACGTGCCGGATAGCCGGTCTTACTTAACTTAAGCGACGCATCTCGCACCGATAATTATTATTTCACACGCCTCGTAATCCTCTTTGTATTTTGCGGAGGAGAAAAAAAAGATAGAAGATTGAAGAAAGACTTTTTTCTCTTGCAGGGAATTTTTGGGAACCAAGTGGTACCGCAACCGCGCGAAAGCGTCGTGACGAGGTGGCGGGCGGATCCTTGGGCACGAGGATCCTACAGTTTCGTCGCGGTCGGCAGTTCCGGCAGCGATTACGATCTCCTAGCGGCACCGGTGTCACCTCCGCACCTGCTCAATCAACCCCCGCCGCAGCCGAGAGTGTTCTTCGCGGGTAAATATTAAATTGATACTTTTCAACGATGGTCGCATATTACCAAGAAACTTAAATGACTGCCTTTTTAAGTTCTCCTCTGACGAAGAATTATATTTGCGTTTGCCGTTGCGCGCTGCGAGTTTGCATCCCCCGTAAATATACGTTCGCGTTTGCGGAACGTTGCGATTGATGCGCGATCCAATTTGCCTCGCTACGATACTCCGTTTCCCGACTTGTGTGCGCAGTAATTCCGTGTGTTAACGCTGTTTAAAGATCCTACTATTCGCGAAATGTTGGTCATACAAACAGGGTGAATTAGCGCTCGCGGAAATTTAACGAAATGTAATAAATGTAATTTAACGAAATGTATAATAAACAGCAGAAGAACGTTGTCGATAAACAAGCGTGATATTTTAATGGTGAAATATAATATGCGAAAAATATAATAAATTCGTCCAAAGATAAATTAAACGTTTTTTTCACGAGAGTGCACGTTGACCTATTTACACGAACGGCTTTTCAGGAGAGCACACTATACGGAATTATCCAGCCACCGTACATGGCGCGTTCCTCAGCGGCCTTCGTGAGGGTGGACGGATAGCCGATCAACTCTGTGGAAGTCCTTACGCACCACCAGCAATGGCAGCTTCCGTTCCGCCAGCGACAGGGATCACGCCAGCAAATACCGGCAGCAGTTCGACGCCTTAATATTTTCACATCGACTATGTTTCGTTTTTGTCTTTCTGTGAGCGAGGAAACTCCGAGGATGGCCATTCACGGGAGAAAGCTCTTCGTCGAAGCTCTTCTGGAACAAGCTACAAAGAGATAATTCTCCGCGATAATTCCAAGTCGAGCGACAACTTGGCGACAAGAACCCATTAATTCGCTATAATTTTCGCAACTTATATGTGATCGTTTTCGATGAATGATTTAACTCGTTACGATTAAGTTCGATTGAAAGAATTAAATGGAAAGGATGATTTGGAAACGCTCAATTTTTCATAGCACTACATTTGTCGAATATATATACACACAGGTATACAGCTTACAAATATTTTATTTATTGTCATCAATATGAGACAAGAATAAAACATGTATATGTACAGTAAGGTGCAATAATTCGGCTGGGCCGTAGTAACTGACTTATCGGCGTAAAAAAATGCAAAATAAAATGAAAATAGAGAACTAGTTACTTCTTATTCTTCCCGTTATACATTTTAATATTTCGATGAACCGCGTACGTGTTGATTATGAAAGACCCATAGGTTGATAGTCAAACTACTACGAATCAGCGAATTAATGCACCTTACTGTACATATGTATGTATATGTATATTTTACTTTATATTATATAACTTATTTATCCATGTGAATATAAGTGATTGCTTGATCAAAGTGATCGCTGTTTTCACATTTTCTCATAACCAGTAATGCTCTTTATGACAATTTCCCAGTGTTTATATAATTATGCTTCCGTTATTTACTTTATCTATCATGATTCATGATCTAACACGATTCACATGATTTGTTGCATATTTCTTGCAATTTTGTACTCTTCTATAACTAAGAAGTATTATTATTTGTATAAGTATACCAATATGTTGATGGAATAAATACAAAATAAAGACAGCGATGCTCTCGAAATTGTGTATAAATTGTTTAACAATATGAGACGTATTACAAAATGCCATAAGGATGAATTCTTTTGTGGCACAGTATTACTTCGATTGTAGAACGAGCGGAATAGGATAAAAATCTAATTATATTCGTATCAATTCATATTTGATGTAGTAGAAAATGGATTCACATACACATGTGTACGATTTTTTATGCAATATTATTTTATCATGTCGTATGTATATATAATAATTTAAAAAATTTAAGTTTATGAAAATTGATAGTAGATATTGATAGCTATTGAAATTTCGCTAGGTATTCGCTACATTTAATTACATACACCTGAATCATTTTTATCTCTCCATAACGAATGACTTAGTTTATATTCAAATGTGATTATTATAAAATAGGATATCACAGTTATAAATTTATGATACATTTCATTTTGAAGTATTATATCGAATGTAATGTATTACATTCCTGCGCAAAATAAAGTGCATACGTATTTTCATCTGATTGTCGAAATCTTCATTTGACTACAAAAAATACGTAATTACAGATATTTATAGATATATATAAAACTATACAGGTCTAATTATCAGATTTGGCACATGTATGTAAGAGATTTATATATATTACAATTAAAAGAAATGCTATACACATATCGATAATACTCCGCTAATGGGAATTATTTTTTTCGTGTTTGGATATTTTATATTTAATAGGTTTTATTAAATAAATTTGTATTACGACACGGGATCAATATACATTAATTAACATGCAGTGCCATTAGAAGGACACAGAGCAGTGTTTATTCATATATCCCCAATCTAACGCGATGATAAAACTTGCTTATCTCGATTTATGTTATGTACGAACACGTGAAGAGGAAATTTTCGGATAACAGCGGCATATGAATAATAACAAGAGCAAATCACTCTGCTTTCGCATTTGCAATCTTGATTTAATTAGTCATGTAATAAACGTGCCTACTATTTACGTAACAACCATATAATCTCACCGATCATATTAGATTTCCTATCTAATTTGGGACTATTGAATATTCGATCATTCCAGTACGGATATTATATTGCATGCATCGCCGCGGGCGCATTATTTCAAGCTGTACAGATTTCCATTGATGCAAGTAACTTTGAAATGCAGCTACCAAAATTCTAAAGCTATCGCGATAATCCATGTAAATCCGTGGCTCTAATCCTGTTATTTCAATTTACGGTAACATTGAAAATATATACGCGTAAGTATCATCATTATTTTAGCTATAACGAGAACACCAAAGAGTATTAAATATCTCTCTCTCTCTCTCTCTCTCCTCTAATACCCTAATATTAATATTACTACTAATACTAATATTAATACTAGTATCTAATACTCTTCTTTTACTTAAACGACTGGGTAGAATGAACTTTTTATAGTTTTTATTCCATTCTTTTATTTTCTACCTCTTCCGTTTCATCCCAAAAATGTTAGTTCGATAAATGCGTATCGTCATAGCAACCATAACTGCAAACAAGCTGGTGTCGCTGGTGAACCCAAAAGTCCCGAGAGTGACCCGAGACACGTCTATCTGCTATCGAATCCCTCGCACGTGTGACATTGTCCACGACGGACGTTCGTCGACCTCTCTGACGTATTTTTTATTTCGTTATTTTCGGTCATTTTCTTTATGCTTAACTCTAAAGATGAGTTTGGTCCCTTTACCTAAAGTGCAATGCAGTTTACCAAAAGCGAGGAAGTATCCCATTGACGTTCCCGGTACGGCAAATATATCTTACGGGCACAAGTTGCGCGAACGCAAAAGTTGCCGCATTGCAAAGCACCGTGGTTCGGATAGATCTATCTTCGAAGGCGCAGTGGAGGAGGAGAAGAGGGAATACGACCAGTTACTTAAAAGTCTGGACTTCGAGAAAGAAACCGATCGGAAAATCAGGAACAAGAATCTTCGCCAACGAGTCCAACGAGGTATTTACGCGGACGTGATGTAGTTCCTTTTCTTTCTTTTTATTACATTTACACTTCTTAAGAAAACTTAAACTGAAGTAAAAGATAGATGAAGAAAATAAAATGTTTTTTTTTTTTTTTTTAAATCTGCGGACATTCTTCTCGTCGTATTTATGCATATAATTTGTTAATTCCTTGTATGATAGAGTATAACAATGTTGGGTGTTAATAGATTTAATTTTGCACAATTAGATAATATGTGTCTATTTAATCTTTTAGAATTAATATCAATATCACATCTTTTAAGAATTCAGACAAAAATTTAATTAAATAGCTCCTCTCTCTCTCCCCCATTAATTTTTTATTTAATTTTAATCATCATGCATAAACGTATCATGAATGTTCGCTTGGATACGGCATTTAGCCGCCATTTTCCCTCGCGTAATGTGAGCCGCTGAACAGGGATAATTACCAGCCGTTAACACGGCAACGACTAATCTCCAGACATGTCGGCATATGAGGAGAATCTACAGGCGCGTAGGGAGAAACTGCGCGATCTCGTATCGAGCGAGGAGGCGAATCTAATGAGGGAGATCACGGAGGTAGCGCGGCAGGATGAGTGCGCCCGATTCGAAGAGAAGCTCGCGAGAATCGAGAAATTGAGGAAGCGGCACGAGGAGGAGCACGAGGCGACGGTGGCCGCCAAACAGATGCAGCGGTATCTAGCCTCGTGTCCGGATATCAAGCAAGAATTGTCGAGAAGATCCGCAATCGATGCGAAGCAATGTAACGTGGCGCAGATGGCGAGCAACGTGGCGAGGAGATTAGCGGAGAAGGAACTGGACGCTGTCTGGCACGAGATAATGCTGCGGGATACCGAGGGGAGGAGGCACAAAGAGACGGAGGAGTCGGAAAGACGAGCCCTGGCCAAGCAAGAAACGGTGTCCACTTTAGCCCAGCAAGTGGTGGACAAGTTGGCGCAGGAAGACGAGAAGAAGCGGGTCGAGAGGGACGAGCGGGAGCATCTGGAGCGGTTATGCGAGGATATGCGTCGTGCGGAGTTAAGGGATCTCGAGATAGAAAGGCAAAAGCGGGAAAAGTTGAAGGAGGAACTCGAGGAGCAGATTCTAACGACGAGGAAGTTCCTCGCCGAACGTGCCCGCGAGGAAACGATGGTGGATCGCGAGCTCAGAATGCTGGCCGAGGAGGAACTGGCCAGGGAGAAGGATCGCGCGAAACAGGACACCGCGGCCCTTCGCGCGGAGTTAGACTCCTATCTCGAGTATTTGGAAAACTTGCAGCGGGAGGAGGTCAAACGGGATCTCGAGGTGGAGGCCGTCGTTCGGCGATCGCACGAGGACATCGAGGCGAGACGTGAAGTCGCACGGGAGAAATTCAAGGAAGCTCGTCGGCGCGCCGCGCAGGAAGTCCTTCGAGATCGGGAGGAACAGCTGAAGGCGCGGCAGGAGGCAGAGAAGCGGGAACAACGGCTGAAGATGGTGGAGCGGGAGGCGCTCGAGAGGCAGATCGAGATGGACGCCGACTTGGCCGCGACGGAGCAGAAAGAGAACAGACAAAAGGCGCTTCGTTACGGGCTGGAGCTCGAGGAGCAGCGGAGATGCGTCGAGACGACGAGACGTCACGAATTGGAGGAGGAACGACGGTACCGCCAGGCCGAGATGAAGAAGCAAGAGGAGGAATATCGGAGGCTCGCGGACAAGCTGTTGAACGCTTCCGAGAGCATTACGCCGCATCCGTTTAAAGCCCTGCTAAAGGAGAGCCTGAAGGAGTCCCCCTCCTGAAGGAGAAGGAAGGACGTTGTTACTGTCCTCCAACTTTAACTTCCGCGTAACTGACATGTTAGGAAATGCTGATAAGTTACCAAGTGTACCTCTTGTAAGTTACTTCTCCGACTTGTCGGTATGGGGAGATCATGTATAAAGGACCAGGCAGACCATTGATTAATAAATCAATCAATCAGCGAGCGACCATTAAATCTGTGGCGATAGAGATGTGAGACAATTGGTAGAAATTAGGATATCAGGAAGATCTTGACGGGAGATCTTAACTTTTTATAGAAAAATATAAAAATTATGTGTAACTGGTCATATAATTCGTGCTCATATTATAAAAATGTTAATGTAAGAGATGTAACTTATAAAATAGATAAAGTAGATATGACATTTTTATCCTTTTTTCCATATTTCTTTCTATAACTGTATAATGTAATATACTTATATATTTTTTATTGAGAACATATTAAATAGTTTTAATATTCTTCTTTAACGACTAATTAAATGATGTATTCAAAGGTGTAAAACTTAATTGGTTGTTAAACGTTAATCAATCGTTTAGTCACCAATGCATTTATCTAGATATCCTGTTATATAATCTTTCATATAATCTTTTTGATATAAAAAAAAAATATATATATATATGTAACTGCAATTTACGCAGCACATTTATTTTATTTTATTATGCACAAATTTATATTTAATAGCAACATTGCAGGTGTGTCATCATAAAAATCATTAGTAAAGAATCGATAGCATTCGTAATCATGTCTATTTACTTTTAATAAAACTAAATTGTAGAATATTGCGCTCGCAATAAATACAATTGCCTGATATAAATATCACTTTTATCGCCTCTGTCGTTTATTTGATAAATATATCTTTATAATATTGTATGAAACAAAATTGCAAGTAATTTAATAAATGTTACATTTCTGTATATCTATTTCGAAATATAGATTAAAATTAGAGAAAAGGAATATTTGCGTTATTAATCAACTTATTTAATGACTATGCCGCGCAGGATCGGAAATAATATCGAAATGCAATTCTTCTCTTCGCGCGCGACTGTGCCGATCGGAAAAAAATGCCTCTCATCCGTATAATTCGACCTGCAGTTGGCGCTCGTACCAAAGAGCTCCGGGCTCTTCTCTCAATGTTCTCCGATTCTACCATCCGTCGGATGCTGCAGGATCCAGCAACGTGGGCTACTGAAGCGGTACGTGTTTATCGACGGAAACGTAGCGGCTTAACGCACGGGGATCGGACAGCAACAATTAATATCAAAATCTCATTGTTCGTCTCGAAGGAGATTCCACGTGAACACAGGGTGTTCCTGATAATTCCGCACGTCTTTATATGACAACGAAAATTACGATGGAGGGCTTAAACGGACGCGACTACTGTCGCATATTATGGGATACTTTGCGCGACGTGGCACGATGTAACACCCCCCCCCCCCCTCCCCCCCGAATGAAACGTACATATATTACATTAAAATGCGCGCCGCGCATTGAATCGAGATTTACGCCGTAATTGTGTTCGCGCGCGTGTGATAGCCGGCGCTTAAATAAATCTTCGTTAAATGCAGACAGCCAAGATCACGTTTCGTCGGTTTGCGACGCTTTGGATGGAGGGCTAAGAAAAATTCCCCTGCCAAATATTTCCGACGTGATAACTGACTCTATAAAAATATCGCGATCCGACCGCGATTATATTCGACGACGCATTATTGTTTCCTAAATGAAAGCGAATTCAATTTTATAAAACGTCGCAACGTAAATATCAATTTTTTTCAAAACTGGACATCACACAAAGCAAAAGGTAATGAAATTTAAAACACGCTGCTCGCAATTCAGAAAGTCCCCCCGTTCAGGCTTGTTTAAGTAAGAATCGCGCCTCGCCGATAACAGCGAACCGATATCCGCCTCTCGTTTTTTTCCTTCAGCGCGATTTCACCCGGGAGGCCGAGAGTACCAGCCGATCCTTTTCCCGCGTCGTCAAGCATAACCACTTGGCTAGTGCTCGTTGCGTGTTTCCCGAGCGATGTGGGTGCGTGCGTGTATGAATACGCACGTCAGCTTAATGCTGTAGACGGCCTGTTCGTGATTGATCGAACGCTGCTGGCTAGACAGCGCAGTTTGTCTCGGGATTCACCCTCGGAGGTTGGAGGGTTGGCTTGGCCTGGCGCGCCTACTGATTGACTCGGGCTTTTGAGATTCGCGCAAAAGGTCGCCGAAATCCTGATCGAAGTCGAGTCAGGTCGCGCCGGAGGCGAGTGCCCGTCGTCGTCGTCGTCGTCGTACCGATTTTTTCCCTTTCCCGACGAATTATTTCACTTGGTTGGCCCGAAGACAGGGGTGCGCACTTGCGCGCGCGTATACGGCGATTATCGGCGGACAAGGCTAGTCAGAGGACAGAGGGACGGCGAAAGGCAAAGGGGAGTCGTCGGGGTTGACGAAGAAGGCGAGGAGCCAGAAGACAGAAGGAAAGACAGAAGAGACCAACGAGGGCACGAAGAGAGAAGAGAACGAGGAAGAGTGAAAGAGACGAGTGGAAACGGAGAGGGTTGTGCGCTGCTGCAAGAGAGCGAATGGACTCTGCCTCCAGGGATGTTCTTTTGACAGTCATGTCGCTGTCGTCTCCTAAGGTCCCCCGGCGGCATTGCATTAATCTTCTTCTTCCGACCCCGCCTTATTGAAAATTCTACAGAGCGCTTCACAGTTTTTGCCGCGGACGTCTTTTATACTCCACTACCGCCGCGCCCCTCTCCCACTCTCCCTCCCTCCCTCCCGCCGCTTGCTCCCGCGCTCCAGCGCCGAGCATCCCCCTGGATGAGGGCGAGCCGCCCTCGCGCTACGCTTCGTCGTGCGTCTCGTCATCCGGGAGACGAAGAGGAGAGCGGCCCTGCCCGGTCTCCCCATACGGCGCTACGTTACGACTACGTCGCTGGTATATCCGTCGACGCGGACGCGTCCAAGCTTCAAGGCACAATGATCGATAAGGTTATCAATCACCGCATCGGTAAGTCTCTCCAGTCCCCTACACCTCCGGCGGTGGTCGCGTTCAACGCCCACAATGCCCCTCACGCGTATTCCGCACACCTCGGTGACCGCGAATGCCTGCCGCTGGAAATGCGCGCATCCGTCTCCCGATAAACGCGTCTGTCAGACGCGGGGGAGTCGCCCGCGGACGGGACTCCGCGAGAGGAAATGTTGGGATTTCGATTGCGCGAGGGGGGCCGTCGAAAATCATCGGGATTAATTCATTTTGTCGCGATGCCGCCCGCGATATACGAGCCATCTAACCTGACCTAACTTAAACCGGCGAGGAAAGGGTTCGATGTACGCGATGGCACGGTATGAGGGTACGCTTGATGGGAATTAGCGAGCGATAAGTACCGATACTCCTCGAAGCGGATCGGTGCTGTTTGCATGGCGAAGTGGTGCGAAAGCGGACTATTTATCGGCTTTTCATTCAGTATCGTTTAAAATCGTCGGCGTTAAATTGATTTTAATGCTAGATTAGGCAGCCAATGGGAATATTAACTCGATAATGCGCATTGCTGCTGTAATTAGCTATAAAGTTAATATATTCTTAAAGCGAAAGTTAAAAAGGACAGCTGTGTACCGTTGACAAACAGACCCCGCGTTATAACATTGTATGCATTTAAATTGTTAATAATAAGGAAAATTTATAATTCTGTTTAAAAGATTTTTTTTAACATTGAAAATTATTAGAAACAAAGTAGTCGAAAAGAACAATATAAAATAATTTATATATTTTGACCGTGCAAATTTATTCATTTATGATATCGTCGTTGTTTTTCTACTACAAAGCGGTTGTATATTTTTTCTCATCGAAGGAAAAAATAAATTTTGCTGCATTATTCTGCAATCAATAACACAACGTAATCAATATTCTTCATTTTTTTTAAATTCAACTTCATATACAGTGAGAACATTTTACTTTTGTTTGAAGAAGAGAATGTATAATTATTATTATTATGTTAATTAATTATTATTTACAATTTTGAATCGCTTATACTGTTTAAAGTATCTAATAGTGAAAAAGAGAAATAATTAATAGATTCACTGAATAATCAATAATAGTACCTATAATTTAACTGAACATATTTGTACTATTAATTACACGTTACGATCCAACAAAAAGCAATTGCGAGCGCACAGAGAGAATTACTTTGTAATTTTAGTCGTGGAATTTGCAGTAACGAAATTCGACGTGTGTAGCTTTAACCCATTTTAGTCAAGAATTCAAAGTATCAATTTCTTGCGAAGTAGATTGAGAAAACTTTCTTCTTTACTTTTAATCAGAAAAGTTTGAAAAATCCGAACAACCCTCGGAACCGTCGGGGCGTAAAGCACACCGAAAGGGTTAATTAATAAACGCAACGCGTCGAACTCCCGCGAGTCGATGGCGTCCGTGGAAGTCGACGAGCGTGGAGCGTGTCCCGGCTATTTTTAGAAAAAGTTTTTCGAATTTTCCTTCTTTTTTCCCCCCCTTTTTTTCCCTGAAAGCTCCGCAGGAAGCATTAGTACACTCGGAGGCGTGTCATATCCTATCATCAGCGACGTAGATTAATGTTACGCCGCCGTGGTCGCGCGCGGCGGCGGCAGCGGAGATTGTCGCGCTTTTCACAGGGATTCCTGTATTTATGATGATAAGCCTGATTTCAACAACCTCGTCGCGGTGCGGGTGCGCCATAGAAATTTCGATAAAATACACGCGACAATAAAATGATTCTCGTGTACGGTTTTCGTTCACCGGCCCCGACGACGGTGAATCGTCATGACACGGCCAGGGGAGATGATTTATAGCGCGCAACCGGCAGTCCATCGGGTACACTGATAGGCAGGAAATAGTCACGGCTCTAATGTAAGATTAGGGCAGGCTTAAGCCCAGCTTAATTTGAGGGTTTTCCTCTGCGAACCGCCCGGAGCTGATACCCCGCGAATCGGCAAAAGCCGGTGTAATTTTTCTACTTAAAG